TGTCTCTGATTTGATATCAAGCTCCTTGATGCAAATGGAAGTCTTATGACCAAAAAAATACAATATGTAAAATCAAATATTCATTCCATGGAAGTAATAGCAAATTTGACACAAATAAAGGAAGGATCAGTGAACTTAAGATGCATGCTATAGATTGAAATTACTGTACCCTACCCCAAATTCATAGGCTGTATCTGGTAGAGCAAGGGGCTTTGGGAGACAACTAGATGAATGCTCTTACAAATGAGACCACAGACAGGGCCTTGAACTTCTATCAGGTGAAGACACAACTAGAAGGCATCATCTATGAATCAGAAAGCAGGAACTTACTAAACACTGAATCTGCTAGTACCTTATCTTAGACTTCCCGGCCTCCAGAACTGTGAGAAACAAATTTCTCTTGTTTAAAAGCCCCACAGTCTACTCTATTTTGTAATAACAGCCTCACCAGACTAAGACAATAGAAATCATCAAACAAAAAATGCAGAAAAATACAGGGGGAAAATGAACAGAGTTTCAGTAACAAATGTATAAATGAAATCACAGAAGAAAAAGAGAACAGGAGGAAATTATGACAAAATAATGGTGAAAAAAAGTATTTCCCACATTTAATCAAAAACCAAAACATACAGATCTAAAATATTCAATAAACCCAAGCAGAAACAAAATCATAGGTACATCATTCTTAAATTGCCACAAATCAAGTATACAGAGAAAATATTTAAAACAGAGAAAAAAGACACATTCTCACAGAAAAACAATGAAAAGTTGACTATCTCTCATCAGGAATAACACAATCCAGAAGAAACCCAAATCAATAATTACACTAAATGTAAATATATTAAGCATTTCAATTAGCAGAGATTTTCAAACTCAATTAAAAAGCAAGCTATAAACTTTATGTGTTTAGCAAAGGATTCCCTCTCAATATAAAGACACAATTTGAAAGAAAATCATACACAAAAAAGTTAATTTGGCTATATTAACATCACACACACAAAATAGACTTCAAATCAAATAATATTACCAGAGATAAATAAGGTCTGTCTGCATCTTGTCTTTACACTTAAAAATATGTCTTAGAGATCTTTTCATTTCAGTATATAAAGTACTTTATCATTTTTTATAGTTGCTATGAAGTTTGCCATTGCATATATAACAAAACTCCATGAAAGGACATTTAAATTG